TACTATGCAAGATGAAGTGCATGTTATGCTATGCAGGTGATGCAAAACAAAATTTTAGGGTAAAAAATTAGGGTATGACAGGATAGCTCAAAGATTCTTCCAAAATTGTCTTTGTGGATGTCTATTTCTACTCCTCTTAGGGAAGTTCTTTGTCAGGTTCCTACAAGTCATAAGTTTAAGTAGAATTCTTTTATAAGAGTTGGGAATAGTCTATTTGGTAACTGAGTGAATAAATCTTTCAAGGAGGCTTGACATATTTGAAGAAATGGTTTTTGACTCTTTAAAGAGATTTGGCTCCATGTAATCACCTTCTTCTCTAGGATTATCATATTCTCTTATTGCTTTTGATTTACCAATCTAGCAATGAACACATCCCTTCTTAGTGTTTCTCTAGGTTTTTGACTTGAGGAGGCCATGATGATGATTACGGTAAAAGATCTCACAAGAAAGATGCTAGAAGAGATAAGTTTAGAGATGTAAGAAGTAGTGAGAGAGCATACCTATTTATAGCGTGACATCTGATGATTTGATCGTGTATTTATGGCAAGCAATCAATGGTAACTATGCTGATCAAAAAGCAGTGTAAAATCTTTCTAAATTAGGTGTGACAATTGATTGGCTAATTTCCCCAATTGATTGGTTAATCAAATCTTCAAGGATTTTAAGTGATCATCATTAATGCTAAGATTTGTTTAAGTTGGAGTACACTTTTGGCTTGGATTTGATCTAAAAATAATTGCACCAAGCTTCTCCAATCGATTTCTGTACGGTGCCAATCAATTGGAATTTTGTTGTCCAGCCTCCTTGGTGCATGTTGAGCCTTATGCTGGATTTTATTACTTTTCTGCACCCGTGTTCAGCCTTATTACACCTCCTTTCTATAAACCACTTAGAAACTCATCTTTTTGGTTAGTGAAAATATTTTATCAAGACGAGCAAAATAAAATCCACTATTTTAAAATATTAATTGGAGTTTTTTGATCATTTCAACTTTAAAATAATGTACTACCTTTCATATCAGAAGGCTTTGATAAAACTTTCATTAAAAAGGAACACCAAGCATATTATGATGTGTCATTCTCTACACATTGTTGGATGCGAGAGTTGGTATATTCAACGAGATGAGTAAGTCCATCCTAGGGCTTTTGTGGCAACTCCCAACTTATTTGGCATGACTTCGAGGTATTTTTGAAAATTAATTCTTTAGAAAAATCATTTTAAAATGACGTTTTGTGTGTGTGTGTGTGTGTGTGTGTGTGTGTGATTAGTCGTATGCTTTACGAGAAAACCCTATTGCTTTTACAATTTTACATATATATATATATATATATATATATATATATATATATATATATATATATATATATATATATATATATATATATATATATATATATATATATATATATATATATATATATATATATATATATATATATATATATATATATATATATATATATATATATATATATATATATATATATATATATATATATATATATATATATATATATATATTTATATATATTTATATATTTATATTTATATATTCACTCAGACGCATTTAAGAAGACTTTCACATACATTAAACCCTGTCAGATGTTTCACTCTTTATAGACACTTGCTTAATATTTACTTTGAGACGAGGTCTTATTTATATTCCATTTGGTTGCCATCATCAGAGAGTCAAGTCCATCAAACCCTATTGTTCTGGTCTGCATTTTAACCGATTTATACTTGACTATAGTTTTCCTCATCAAAGACTAGTTGTCATCATTAAAAGCATGTTCATCTTTAATGGAACTTCCTTAATTAGTAACCTGTAAAACAAGGTTCCATAACAATATCTCGAACAAGGACACATTTAACATTCTTCTTAGCCATCGGTCCCTAATAAGAATGGAAGAGCTTAATGCACCCTTTGAAAATTTTCCTTCCTTCTCCTGACTTAAGGGTAAGAAAAACGTTCCCATGAGACTCCTTTATTGAATAAAAAGGATTTCTAAAATAAGAAGGAGAAGGAAAGGTTTTCTGATAAAAACAAGTCGAAGCCTTTTTATAAGGAAGACCCAATAGCAGAAGTAACATACTTGCTTGGTAGCATGACAATTGCAAGAAGTGGGATAGATTTCACACGTCAGGGACATGCGTTAGGAAAAAAAAATATAGAATTGAGTATCCTTGGGAAATATATCCTAAACATCATTAAATGCCACCCACATTTCTTTCTCACTAAACAATTGAGTTTGCATAACTGAATGACATTTTGACGTCCCTAGAATTGACTAATTGATAACACAACTCACGTGACATATTGAGATTTTCCCAGAGACTCCCTTTCATGGTACACCCTTACTGGGGGACTCGTTCCTTACTGAGAGACTCACCAATTACTAACGGAGTCACCCTTTATTGAGGGACTCAACCCTAACTACTATATTTTTTTAATGAAATGAATGGCTTAAAACTACGCGGAGAAGGAGATTAATCAATTCTACCTTTACAAGTGCTCGTGTTTGAGGGACTGAGTAATGATATATTTGTAAAAGAGCTACATAAGTGATGCATAGACCTGTCATCATTAGGAGCCCACCTAAGGGTATGTCTCCTAAATGTGATTCCGCCCACAAATAGCTCCCCATAGGGAGGAAACATGGATAATGATGTGTAGGTTATCTATAACCTCCCGTGGAAACCATCATGATCACGATTTCTAAGAAGTAGGCAGTCCACGAGCTTCATGGCCAAGGTGGAACATTTACTACTTCTCTAGAAGCCCCAAATCAACCCACATGCCTCTATAAATACCTTAATCTGAAGGTTGAGGGGAAATAATCCATTATTCATAAAAAATAATCCATAAACAAAGCTTCCCACCCTTGTGAGTTTTCTCTAATCCCACCAAAAACACCTCCTAAAACAGGGTTTCTCATTTCTGTGACCTTACCCTAACACCCAGAAATACTAAAACCTTAGGCCACCCTTACCAACCTAGGAGTGTCATATACTTGTACTTATTTTAGAATGTACATAAATCATAAATAATGATTAAGAAAAACTATTTTTCGCATAATCTTTTAAGGATGTTTAAATGTTGAATTCATTTATAAATGATTTAGAATTTAATAAGAATAAATAGAGAGATTTATCAACAAAATTTATATTCAAAACAAATCTATTTATATAAAATTTAAAATAAAAAATAATAACAAAATATTGAATTAGATTCATTCAAAGATATTACGAATAAGAAAAATTACTTTTACAATAGAACCGAAGACGATTATATCATCACTTATATTTAGGTGTGGGAAACATGAATTCTCGCCTTGTTTAGATTCACTTGTAAAAGTCTGAAAAAAATAAAAAGAAAGATGTCAAATTTGATTGAGAGTGCAAGTTTAAAACTTTAACTTGCCTTGAAAAAAATGAGTGTGGATGACACGCGAGTCTTAAATATCTTTTACAATATGATAATAACTAATAAATATATGAATATTTTATAATATATATTGTTATCATTATATATATATATATATATATATATATATATATATATATATATATATATATATATATATATATATATATATATATATATATATATATATATATATATATATATATATATATATATATATATATATATATATATATATATATATATATATATATATATATATATATATATATATATATATATATATATATATATATATTTATATATATCTTAAAATTAAAATTTGACCTAATTCATTCTTACAAAAATTAAATTTTAAGGTGAGAAATGTCATTCTATATAATCATTTTCGACCTCTATGTCTAATTAATGTGAGACTTATGATCTTCTTCCTAATACACTCTTCACACACATCACTCTTTTTTTAAATTGGTGCATGAATATAAATGGTGGACGGCATTTTTTTCTAATTGATAGACTCTAATATCATATTAGAATTACATTTTATTTAATTCAACTTTACAAAATTGATTTTTAAAATGAAAAATATCACTCTATATGAACTATTTTCAAACTCTATCTAATCAATATGAGATTTTTCCAATAATATATAAATTATCTTAGAAAATATAAAAAATATTGAGAAATTAGTATTTACAATTATTCAAGGCAAAATACCCTTTTTTTATCCCTTAATTTTTTTAGTATGAGATTGATCTCTTAACTCTTAAAACATGTCATGTTAGTCTTTTTTATCTAATTAGGACGGAAAAATTCAAAAATTAATCGCTAAATTCATCGCTAATTAGATAAAAAAGACTAATATGAGACATCTGACATGAAAAAAAAATTAAAAAACCTTAAGAATATAATTAAGAAAACAAAAATGACATTTTGCCACCATTCAATCATAACACATGCTTTCCTATTTGTTAAAATTTATGAGTTTTACCAAATTTATATAAATTCATTATAATTTATGAGATCCATTTAATTTAGAGATTAACGTATTATTATTGTAAAATTTTCTTTACGATTAATGCATCTCAATTATTCATAGATATTATTTTATCTATAATCTATAATCTATAACATATATAAAGACAAAACATGATGTTTTGATGTAGACTATTTTTCTACTAATTTTATCCTTATTTTAAATGTAACTTACACAATAACTTCTATTAAAATCGCTATTATTATCTTTCACATAACTTCTTATTATTAATTTTCTACCTAACTTTAATTTAAAACTAATATTAAATAAAAAATATCATTAAATATTTTAAATGTATACATTAGAAAAACAGACAAACGGACACGCGGCGTGCCCGTCTGGACGCTAGCATATAATTAAAATAAAAATTAAATTTTAATAATAATGTAACCGCCACAATTAATTGTTTATGCTTATTATTTTGAGTGTATCTTATTTTTATTGTTAAAAACTAATTTTTAAACAAAACTATTTTTTTTAGGATTATTGTTTTCAACTGTTGGGGAGGTAAAGAACCGCTCCAACGGCAAAGTTTGTTTGATGATGAGAACGCTCTCTCAGACATTTCGCTCCGTCAAACGCCCAATTACAAATCCTAAATTGTCCAAAACGTCTACAAAATCAGAACTCAAAACCAACGCGAAGCCAAAATCAGAACTCAAAACCAACGCGAAACCAAAATCAGAACTCAAAACCAACGCGAAACCAAAATCAGACTCATGGTGTGTTTATCTCATTCTCTCCACAAACCTCCCAATCAAAACCTACGTTGGCGTCACAACCAATTTCCCTCGCCGGTAACCTTAATTTCAAGATACCTCTCTGTTAATTTCGCTGTTCAATTAATTTTTATCTAATCTCCACCGTCTCCATTGGATGCTGAAAGTTTGTACTTTTTTATTTTTGCATTTCTGTTATTATATGAAACGGGTCCTGCTTTTATTTACTAGCTAAACAAGACAACTTAATAGCTACGAAAACCAAAGATTCAAAACTAGTGTCTCTAATTTTGAAATGCTGCTTAGGTAACCATTTTCCTTGGAGTTAAAGAAATGGGTGTTTGATTTGTACTTGTCTTTATTGTTGTAGTTTAAGACAGCATAATGGTGAACTTAAAGGTGGTGCAAAAGCTTCCCGTGCTGGAAGGCCATGGATTTGTGCATGTATTGTTTGTGGCTTTACAGACCGAAGTGAAGGTATATATTACTATTTTTGTGTTTTTTTGAACACGGTACTATTGATTGTTTTTCCATTGTCATAAGCTTACTTATGTGGAGAAAGTAAAATGTTGATATACTTATGTTCTTGTAGGTTATGCTTATCTTTAATTTTTGAAGAATATTTCCCATTTCTCTTGATGTTTGTCCATTTGAGTGCACACTAGCCTTAAATAAACTTTTGTACAATAACAGTCTAAGAGCATACAAATTAAATGCACCAGACTTGTTACAAAAGAACCTAATTCAGGGACTCCTAAGGAACTTGATAAGAATATGGGTGACTTAGTCATTGTATTAAGATAGCTGGTGATGATAAAATCAACAAGCACATTTTCTATGATATAATGAAAATCCATTTTGATATGCTTGGTCCTTATATTAAAGAATTAGAAGCAATATGGATTGCAACTTGACTATTACAAAAACTTTAATCTGAGACATTTCTGTTAACTTTATTTCTAGAATTAGTTACTTATTCCATATGAGCTGCTGCTGCTCATATTCTGTATCCAAAATATTCTGGGTCGGTATCAGTGTGGTCACATTGCTTCTTATTTTTTCACAAGACATAATTATCTCCAGTAGAATACAATATCATCTAAGACGGGGACTCATCTTGTTGAAAGATTAAATTTGATTTGGGTCTAAACATATTATTTGAATTTTTGGGTTTAGTTATTTTGAGCTTAGGTAATTTTAATTAATGTTTCTAGAAAACTTTTGTAATGTTTAGAGTGTCTAGATATTTCTTAGGGTTGTAATATTTTTTAGAATGCTCTTGGAATTCCTAGAGTTGAGAACTCTCTAGAATTAGTGTGTCTAGAGTTCTTCTTAGAGTAATATAAATTGAGATGTAATTCTACACTTTTGTATCATGCAAAATACAAAGTTCTTTCTTCCATAAATAATTCTCCTATCTATCAAGTTTCTATTCAAGCCTCTAATATTCCCACACACTTTCACTAAACACAAAAGACTTTATTTCCAACAAAGTGACTTCAGTTTGAAGGTCCTCAAAAGATGGCGAATGGAGGTTTCTCTTTTCAAATGCCGATACTCACAAAGAACAACTATGACAATTGTATTATCAAGATGAAGGCGCTACTACGAGCTCAAGATGTGTGAGATATCGTTGAAAAAGGCTTCAAGGAGCAAGATGAAGAAGCCTCACTAAGTCAAGGTGTTAAGGAGACATTGAAGGAGTCAAAAAAGACAGACAAGAAAGCTCTCTTCCTCATTTATCAATTGGTGGATGAAGATACATTTGAGAAGATCTCCAATGCAACGACGGCCAAAGAAGCATGAGACAAGCTTCAAACTTGCAACAGAGGAGTGGAGCAGGTGAAAAAGATTCGTCTTCAAACTCTTAGAGGTGAGTTTGAACGTTTATTTATGGAAGAGTCTGAGTTAATTTCTGATTATTTTTCTCGAGTATTGTCCGTAGTCAATCAACTTAAAAGAAATGGGGAAGATGTTGATGAGGTGAAAGTCATGGAGAAAATACTTCGCACTTTAAATTCAAGTTTTGACTTCATTGTTACCAACATTGGAGAAAACAAGGATTTAAAGACCATGATTATTGAGCAACTTATGGGTTCCTTACAAGCATACGAAGAAAAACAAAAGAGAAAAATTAAACAAAAGGAGGCTATGAAGCAACTACTACAACTCAACGCAAAGGAAGCAAACTATGCGAATGACAAGAGCCAAAGAGGAAGAGGTCGTGCCCAAGATCGTGGACGAGGACATGGAGAAGAAAAGAGGCAGTTACAACAACTACTCCAACAACTTCAACAATGGAGAAAGAAGTTGGAATCCACAAGCAACAAGAGGCCGTGGAAGTGGAAATTCATGGTCAAGGTGCGACAAGTCACAAATCAAGTGCTTCAACTGCAACAAGAAGGATCACTACGCATCTAAGTGTAGATTCCCAAAGAAGGTTGTGGAGAAAGCTAACTTTGTAGAAGAAAAAGATGGAGAAGAAGAAACTTTGCTACTCGCGTGCCAAAATCAATTTAAAGAGAAAAGAAACAAGTGGTACCTTGACATCGGCGCAAGCAACCATGTGCGGCGATCGAAGCATGTTCGTAGAGATCAATGAAGCGACAACTGACAATGTCTCATTTGGAGACGTCTCAAAGATACCGGTCAAAGGCAAAGGTAAAATTCTCATACGCTTGAAGAATGAGAGTCATCAATTCATATCCAATGTCTACTATGTTCCTAACATGAAAAATAATATTTTGAGCTTGAGATAATTATTAGAGAAAGGCTATGACATCCACTTGAAAGAATATTGTCTTTTCTTAAGAGATTGTGAGCATAACTTGATTGCTAAGGTGCCTATGTCAAAGAATAGAATGTTCCTCTTGAACATTCAAAATGATGTGATAAAGTGTCTCAAGGTTTGCTATACCGACTTTTCGTGGCTATGACATCTACGATTTGGACACCTCAACTTCGGCAGTCTAGAATGTTTATCAAAGAAGGAAATGGTAAGAGGCTTGCCTAATATAAACCACTCAGACCAACTATGTGAAGGATGTCTAATTGGGAAGTAATTTCGAAAAAGCTTTCCAAAGGAATCAACGTTAAGAGCGACAAAACCGCTAGAGCTCATACACACCGATGTCTATGGACCAATCAATCCAAACTCTTTTGGTAAGAGTAAATACTTTCTCCTCTTTATTGATGATTATTCCACAAAAAACGTGGGTTTATTTCTTGAAGGAGAAGTCGGAAATGTTTGAAAATTTTAAGTTCATGGCACTTGTGGAGAAAGAAAGTGGTCTTTCCATTAAGGCCATGAGATCTGACCAAGGAGGAGAGTTTACTTCAAATGAGTTCAACAAATATTGTGAAGATCATGGAATCCTCCGCTCACTAACAGTGCCAAGATTGCCACAAGAAAATGGAGTGGCGGAGAGAAAGAACCGGACCATACTTAATATGGTGCGAAACATGCTTAAGAGTAAGAAGATGCCGAAAGAGTTTTAGGCCGAAGCAGTGGCATGTGCGGTTTACCTAACAAACCGCTCCCTAACAAGAAGTGTGCATGAGAAGACACCACAAGAAGCATGGAGTGGAAGGAAGTCAGGGACCTCTCACCTCAAAGTGTTTGGAAGCATTGCATATACCACGTCCTAGATGAAATGAGAACAAAACTCGGTGATAAAAATGAGAAGTATGTATTCGTGGGTTACGACTCAAGCTCCAAAGGGTACAAACTCTATAATTCAAATAGTGGACAGATTGTCATAAGTCGTGACGTGGAGTTCGAAGAAGAAGATTGTTGGGATTGGAGTGTTCAAGAAGACAGGTGCGATTTTCTTTCTTATTTTGAAGAAGAAGATGAAATGGAACAACCAATGAGGGAGGAACATATTACACCACCTGCCTCACCAACACCAAGGTTGGATGAAACAAGCTCAAGTGAGAGGGCACCACGACTAATGAGCATTGAAGAGCTTTATGAGGTAACCGAAAACCAAAATGACATTAACCTCTTTTGTCTTTTTGGTAATTGCGAGCCTTTAAGCTATCAAGAAGCTGTTGAAAACGTAAAGTAGAGAGACGTCATGGATGAAGAAATAAAGTCAATCACGAAGAATGATACGTGGGAACTTACTACACTTCCATGAGGACACAAAGCAATCGGAGTAAGATGGGTGTACAAGGCGAAGAAGAATGCAAAAGGAGACGTGGAGATATACAAAGCAAGACTGCTGGCAAAAGGCTATAGTCAAAGATAAGGAATTGACTATGATGAGGTATTTGTCCCCGTTGCTCGTCTTGAAACTATTAGACTGATCATTTCTTTGGCAGCCCAAAATGAATGGAAGATCTATCAAATGGATGTGAAGTCGGCCTTCTTGAATGATTTTCTCGAAGAAGAACTTTATATCGAGCAACCACAGGGATATGAAGTAAAAACGGTAAGAAGAAAAAGTCTTGAAGTTGAAAAAGGCGTTGTACAGACTCAAGCAAGCACGGAGAGCTTGGAATGTTCGAATCGACAAGTACTTTCGAGACAAGAACTTCATCAAGTGTCCATATGAGTATGCACTCTATATTAAAGCGCAAAGTGGAGATATTTTGATTGTGTGCTTATATGTTGATGACTTGATCTTCACTGGGAACAATCTAAGCATGTTCGAAGAGTTCAAGAAAGACATGTCAAATGAATTTGAGATGACGGATATGGGGCACATGACATATTATCTTGGCATTGAAGTAAAGCAAGAAGACAAAGGAATTTTTATCACCCAAGAAGGTTATGCAAAAGAAGTCCTTAAGAAGTTCAAGATAGATGATGCCAATCCGGTTGGTACCCCGATGGAATGTGGCAGCAAGTTGAGTAAGCACGAAAATGGAGAGATTGTGGATCCAACTCTTTACAAAAGTTTGTTTGGAAGTCTACGTTACTTAACAAGTACAAGACCAGATATTCTCTATGCTGTAGGAGTGTAAGTCGCTACATGGAAGCTCCAATAACAACTCACTTCAAGGCGGCAAAGAGAATCCTTCGATACATCAAAGGTACAACAAACTTTGACTTGCACTATTACTCTTCTAAAAATCATGATATTGTTGGCTATAGTGATAGCGATTGGAGTGGAGACTTGGACGATAGAAAGAGCACTAGTGGTTTTGTGTTCTTTATGAGAGATATTGCTTTCACTTGGATGTCAAAGAAGCAACCTATCGTCACACTGTCAACTTGTGAAGCCGAATATGTTGCCGCTACATCATGCGTTTGCCATGCAATTTAGCTAAGGAACTTGTTGAAAGAATTAAAAATGCCACAAGAGGATCCTATGGAAATATGTGTTGACAATAAATCAACACTTGATAGAATCCTGTATTTCATGAAAGAAGGATGTGAAGTTGAAGTATATGATGTCTCGAGATCAAGTTGCCGACATTTTCACCAAGCCACTCAAGTTGAAAACTTTCGTGAAGCTAAGGAGCATGCTTAGAGTCACAAATCAAGTTTAAGGGGGATGTTGAAAGATTAAACTTGATTTGGGTCTAAACATATTATTTGGATTTTTGGATTCAATTATTTTGGGCTTAGATAATTTTAATTAATGTTTCTAGAAGACTCATTTAATGTTTGGAGTGTGTAGATATTTCTTAGGGTTATAATATTTTCTATAATGCTCTTGGAATTCTTAAAGTTGAAAATTCTCTAGAATTAGTGTGTCTAGAGTTCTCCTTAGAGTACTAATAATAGAGATGCTTCTACACTTTTCTATCAAGCAAAATACAAAGTTTTCTGTTTCATAAATAATTATTCTATCTATCTAATTTCTATTCAAGCCTCTAATATTCCCACACACTTTCACTAAACACAAAAAGCTTTATTTCCAAGACACCTCTCTTTCGGAAGTCTTATCTGCACAATTTAGGCATACTAGTGGAATCTATTTTACATTACCCAATAGTCACGAGCCCTAACATCTCTCTTCCCTGTCCCCATGTCTCTACTATTTAGCTACCAATTTTGTAACTCCTGGAAGGTATCCTTGCCGAATATTCTAATCCAACTATCTTTAAGTGATAATTCAGTTGCTTTCTGTCACAATTCAATAAGACCTAGAATAGGGCTACTTTAAAAAGCAAAGAGGAGGATAGTCAATCAATTCTGGATTTCCTGGCCTTAAAAGGGTTTAGTGTTATGTGCTTGACTGGTGGCTTAGTGCAACGATTTTGATGAATATAAAATAAATTCTTCAATTTTTATTAGTGGAAGTGATATTTTCCAACTGTCATAATCTTTTGTGGCTAAGTGCTGTTAAATAAGATGATAATTCCGTGTTAATTTTTATTTCTCATTTTTCACTAGTGTTCTGTGATGTGTACTCCAGAGTGTTATAGCTGTTTAGCATTATAAGCGTTTTTGCCACGAGGTTGACTATTTGATAGCCCCTTTGAATAAACTATTGGTTATTTAAAAGTCTTATCTGCAACTGTGACATTGTAAACAGGCTCTACTTTTGCAGGACCCTGAGTTGCTAATATTATAATCCATATATCTTTACTGAATTGAATAGGCTATTCTTTTTTGCCTGTTTTTAAATGTCATATCTTTTTGATATTTGGTCTACTAAGGATTTAAGAAATGCAAGTTGATATTTTTCTTGTGCTTTCCTTTGCTGATGTAGCTTGTGTATTTGAATCAATATGGAAAGCTTTGACGAGGAGACTTCCACGCAAAAATCAAACTGGCGAACCCTCCAAGCAAAGCGAAGATCCGTCACGCCCACTGCTGCAACACAGACAAGCAGCTTTAAATAGAGTAAAAACCTCACTTGACTGCACAAACTTAGAAATTAATTGGCATTTGGATCCACTGTGATTCAACTACCATGATGTGTAAGTGTCTTAATTTAATAACGGTAATATATTCAAATGGCAAAACATAAGCCAAGTATTTAACACCAACTGTACCATCCACAATTATTGATTGTTTTAATAAAATATTTCTTCTGTATATTTAAAAACCTGAGACCCCTGAGTATGCAAAGGATGCTTCTCTTATTTATAGAAAAACTTGTTTATTTAATATCATGGTGAAGATTATAAAAATTCAAGAAGACATCATATTATATTTTAGATGAATTGTAAATCTCACAAGCCAGACATTTTCTATATTTTAGATGAATTGTAAATGATAAAAAAGTACTAAGAGCATTGCTACTCATTTTTGAATTTCTTGTGGAACTCATTATTAAACAAACTCCAATAGTGTAATTTTAAAAAATTCATATTAGATCTCACAATTTAACTTTATTTATTCATATTATATTATTTATTTAGAATTTTATTTTAACTCTAAATGGTCCACAACTTAAACTTTAATCATTTTTTAATGTTGATGCAACGTTGCTCGGTGATTCAACGGTTGGCCTCTTGACTAAGTGGCTAACTTCAATGGTTCACAAAATGAAAAGCTGTTTGCCAGCTGGAGATCTTGAGAAAAAACTCTCCAGTCTAAGTTTTCCTAAATCTCACTGCATCCCTGGCTACAAAGGAATTGTAATTGTAACTCAGTTTTGTTATTAAAAACTGAATTAGAATTTAAGTGTCACAAACTATATACTATCTCCGTCTTAAATTATAAGTCGTTTTTAATTATTTCATAAGAATTAAAAAACTTAATTATTATTTTATGAGAAAGATAAATTATATATAATTTTACAGTAATGTCCCTCATAATTACACAAGAGAGAGAGAAATTAAAAGTGTTGAAAATAAATAAATACTTGAGTGTATATTAGGAAAATAATTATACACGTTGCATTTGAATTATAAAATAACTTATAATTTGGGACAAATTTGTGAGGGCAATCCTCATAGGTAGCTGCACTTGTTTCAATGATGTCAAAATTTAGATTGATAGAAAAATATACTGGACAGTATCATCGTGTCACATTTGCATGTCTCTCGTAAGTCAAACACTCGTCAAAAACATAATTGATGCATATAGAAATGGCTAAATCTATGTTTCATGTAGGGTTGGTCAAACTAGTCAAGCTTACCACGTTATAGAGTTCATCAAAAGTGTCTTGATACATGAAAATAGACATTTTTTTCTTCCTATTTCAGGGTTTTGAGTCGACTCAAAGCTAGCTCCGACCGACTCATACATATAGTCTTTTTAATGAACTACTCTTAGGAGGGCTCGCGTCGACCCTCCGGTCAACTCATACTGTGACCATTTGTATTTGTTTAAATTTGCATGCTTTGCGTCGACACATGACCTGCTCCGGTCGACGCAAGGTTCTGTTTTTTGCTCAATCAGGAATACAGGTAAGCATAGGTCGACCCTCCTTTCTGCATAGATCGACCGCTCGCTGATGTTTAGTCAAAATTATGTTATGTGAAACAATTTTGATGTTTGTTATGTTGGTTAAGTCAGTTATGTCTTGTATATAAAGTGAGTTGTGCTCTTCCTTTCACAACAACTGAGAAAAACAAGAAAAGTGAAAATAACATACTGATTTATTCTCATCATCTTCATCCTCTTCATAAGCATTTTCTCAACAGCTACACATAATCATTTTTGTTGTGCATTATGCTTGTTCGATGTGATAACGTCCAAATTAGGATTGGTGTAATCTGACTTGGGTTGAGTAATCGGTAGGTTTTTCTTGAATAAAACCGTTAGTGTTTTGTCCTCCAAGAATCTTGGATTTTGGGGGTTTTTTTGCACGAATCGGTCCTTCACAGATTCAATCGAGCGAAGGTAATCGAAGAATGAGTGGTTCTATCGGTTTAGTAGCGGTAATTGGAGGATTGTGAGTGGAAGATTCGGATTCGACACGTGGTTGACTGAAATCAGCCGGGCAAGATTTGAAGACCGTGGGGTTGTTCAAAAGGCGTGTCGTAGTTGGAGGTTTACTCACCGTGTTCGAAGGACTTGATTCAACTTGAATCAAGGGGCAAGAAGAAATAGGCTCTACATCAACAAATTGTGTTTGATTGTTTGATCTCTATTTGCTTCTTGTGTAAACATTGACCAACAGGTTATATCTATCTATATACAAGTCTCAATTCTATTATTAGAATTATGGGCAAACGTACCCCGAACGAAGACGACGGGGGAACTGCCTCAACAAATCGTTGTCTCTTTCTTTACGTTTATATTGCTTAAATTCTGAGTTTTAAGTGCAAACAATTGTGTCAATCAAATTCTGATTTGAGTAGTGCTGAATTATTTTTAAGCTTGTTACAATCCTTGATTGTAATAGAACGCTTGAGCACTCTACTCTCATAAGAGAATTCACTTGTAGTGCCTTGCACTCCAAGTGTTTGACCAATTGTGTGAACTAAAAACAATTGTGCTGTCTTTTCAAATTGTCTATATTTTAAAAGTATTGGAACTAGTCACACCTTATAGTGAACAAAATCTAATTGAAGTGTGATCAAATTAGTGATTCTCAAATATCGTTTTATCGAATTCCATAAGCTTTACGCATATCCGGTTTTTTCGGTAAAGGTTCGTTTTAGACGAATATAGTTCCTCAACCGCTTCCGCCTTAAACAATTTTTAAAAACCAATTTTTTTTTGGTAATGTCGACTCTGTTTTAAACAAGCGATCTATTCAACCCCCCTTCTAGATCTGCACCGTCGTCTAACAAAATTATTTTGGCAAAGCGTCTTATAATTTGGATCATAAGGATTATAAAACTATAGGTCCATATTATAAGAATATATTTGAACCATATCATAGTGACTATTTGATAACACGAAATCGTATATATATATTGATGCATAATTCAACTAATGTTTGACTGTTTTCAATCCGATTTCGGGTTCTTTCCATGTTATTTGTCTGATATTTTGCAGGTATTTGATGATCATGTCTAAACAAAGCAATATGAAGAAAAGAAGCAATTATAGATGAAATCTGGACGAAAACCAGATGAAAACAACATGAAAAACGCAGAATGCACATTTTGCTGCTGTGACGACCGTCACACCTCCATGACGACCGTCACACGGGTGACGACCGTCACACACCATGACGACCGTCATGCAGGCAAAAACGCACAACTTCAAATGAACGTGCAAAATGCAGTTCCATGTCCCAAATAATGGACCACTACTCCCTGATATTTCTGCCTCCAAGTCCACCTTCTTCAAATTACAACCGTTAGAATTCTATTTCTATAAAAGGGGAAGGAGGGGAGCTGAGAAAGGGAGCCGCATTCAGACAATGAAGTGCTGCCCAAATTTATTTCCAGAGCAAAAATTTAGTTTTATTCTTTCTGTTTTTGTTTTCTTTCCTTATTCCTGTATTCCATTTCGACAATATTCGTTTGTGCGCTCTATTGGTTTGAAGACATAATCCTGCCGACATCGTTGGGATTTGGCCAAAAGCCAATTGGATACGTTACAGGTTTTTTCGTTAATTGTAACTTTAATTCTCAGTAATATGAATGTTCTAAGTTTCTGTTTTTATTTATGTTTTACCTTTCCCAAATCCATGTCTAGCTAAATCAGAGTAATCGATATGTAATAATAATTCAGACGGGATTTGATAATAACCGGTTGAAAACTTTCTTTTTCAAATGTTGTTTATGGTCTGAGTGTTTAAACTTATTTACTGAATAAACGTTCGTCGCGAAAGCGAGGACTTAGTTTAAAAGTAGTTTTGCCACGACAGTGGGAAATTAATTAAGGTACGAACCAACAAGCGACAGCTGCGGTAAGACCAGATAGTAAACACTAGGCATTTGTTTTAATAACAGCGAAAGCACTTTAAAATGGATTAGAACTTAGAGATTTCCAAAAAGTAGTTTTAACCCCGAATGGGACAGCGAAAGCATACATTCGGCCCTTAGAATTATGACTAGCGTCAACAACCATCGTGAGACGAAAGTCTTCAGATCACTATTTTCTGCTTAAATAAATTCTGAAAAAAATATTTCATATACCGGTGACTTGTCAAATCCCCGAAGAACATAATTACTGCATATCGATTCACGTGATTATAATTCAAGTAATGTTCTTAGTTCCCTTTAGTGACAGAAATTATTTCCTTAAACATTATCTACCTAGCTAAACATAGTAACTCCCGAGAACACTAGTTTGATTACGAGTCCCTGTGGGATCGATATCTTTTATTACTACGCGATAGACTGTGCACTTGCAGTTAAGTTGTATTAGACATAGAAAGTCGCGATCAAGTTTTTGGAGCTGTTGCCGGGGACCCGTTTAGTCAATAGTGTAACCTTCTGTTACGCCGTATAGACTAGGTTAACAATTTCATTTTTCCTTTACTAGTTCTGTCGATTGTATGCCAAGTAATCGCCCACAAGGCGATATCTTAAAACCGTCAGTCGCAGAACTAGAGCGCTTCTTACATTTAAGAAGTCGCATCATTGAGTACCAACTAAAACATAACATTCCCGATCCTGTCACTCCCATTCCCAAATCCGAAGAAGAATCAAAGATGGCTGAAGGACCTCAAAACAAACCGCTGAAGGCATACGCTACACCCTCTCATATGGAGCCTAGAAGTAGCATTGCTGCCCCAGCTATTACTCAAAACGATTTTGAGCTGAAACCCTCATTGCTGTCAGCTGTACAACAAAACCAATTCTCAGGAAATGCAACTGAGGATCCAAACGAACATTTAACGAAGTTTGTACAATACGCAGACACAGTGAAAGCAAATGGAGTAACTCCAGACGCAATAAGACTTCGTCTTTTCCCTTTCTCTCTTAGAGACAGAGCGTGGACATGGTTACAATCCTTACCATCCAACTCCGTTACAACGTGGGAACAGTTGAAGAACGTCTTCTTAGCGAGATATTTTCCGCCAAGCAAAACTGCTATGCTTAGAGCTC